ACCTTTTAAAAGTTCAACGATAATTTTCTGAAAATACTTAAAGATAAGTTTTTATACGTAGATCCTTATTTTAGTACAAACAATTATTTTTATTTCATGGGTGTCAGAACAGGGGACTATTTTTGAGATAAAATTAATAATTTGTAAAGATGGGAAAAAGAAATTGTTATAGAATCAGCATAATAGCCAATTAAGTAAGACCTATATAATGGAATCTACATGACTAAATACGAAATTGGAGCTCAATTCTCCCATGAATCCTGAGATTAACAAAAGCCCTACTTTATACTAATTTACACATTAAATGTTCAATAGCTGTATTATATATTATCTACTTCTAGGCAATATCACTCTTCAGGTTTGTTGTGTACGATACACCTAATTTACATAAGTGGAGTACCGACCATATAAATATGGGTTGGTACCGGAAGACGAGGGTTGAAGAAGACATCGAATCGAGAGACTCTGCCCAACTGCGATTTAGTCAACCCATTATGCAGGAACAGTCTTCCCAAGAATATACCAAAACTAACTGTAAATATTGTGTACCCTTTCCTTGTTTCAATACATTTTGTTTACGTACATTTTGTGTTGTATTATTATTATTCCATGCTTATCCAAGTTTCAACAAGGTTTAACTAATTTGCATATTGATTTGAAAAAGTTTATTAATTAACTGTCCTTCATTGATCTTCTTTTACCTGAGGATATTTTGATTTTCATATCAATAATAGTTCTGTTTTGGAATATCGTCTTATATAGTGCAGAAAAGCGTTTGAAATTTGCATTTTATTTGGCTTTCAAAAAGTTGGCATCTATTTGTAAAACTTTAATTTGATAGCCAATTTATGAATGAAATGTACATTTAAAATTTTGGTTTCAAAGATTTCAAGTAGTTAATATATCTTACTTCGCGAAGCCTGCTAGTATGTCTATCTATCTATCTATCTATCTATCTATCTATCTATCTATCTATCTGTATGTGTGTGTGTGTGTGTAAGTATTGTTTAGATTTGCTATATTTAGAGGGAAGAGTGCTCAGTATTGAAGACAAAACTTTATAGATGTAAAAAGTGTGAGCATAGGAATCAAACTGTCTGTCAACTGTCAATTTCAAACTTCAGTTCGCAAGCGAAAAAGTGACAGTCACTATGTAGTGTTGATTCTTATATACGTTTATGAAAATATAGATAGATAATGAACTGATTTAGATACATATGAACAGAATGAGACATAAATACATACAGATAGATAGATAGATAAATACAATGAACTGATTAGTTAGATATAACTGAATTCGATAGATAGATATAAACAGAATGAGACATACATTCAAATAGATAGATAGATAAATAGATAGAGAGATAATGGACTGATTTAGATAGATACATATAAACAGAATGAGACATACATAGATATATACATACATATAGATAGATAGATAAAGAAATGATTTAGATAGATACATATGAATAGAATGAGACATATATACATAAATATATACATACATACATACATACATACAGACATACAGGCAGACAGATAGATAGATAGATAGATAATGAACTGTTTGAGACAGACGTCGAGCCTGGCCAGAACCTAAATAATCTTAAAATCTATAAAAATATTTTCTGGCTTTAAATAACTTGCAGAATAAGATAAACCGTAAAAAAACAAATCGACCACAGTCAATCAAACAATAATGTTAACGTGATCGTAATACAGGTAAAAGTTTCAGATCAAAATTCTATACGATAAACCTTAGTCCTTACCTCACCTTTGCATATATTGCTCTATCCAATCACACACACACACACACACATATATATGGGTTGGATCTATGCATATCTGTGATTAGGTGCGAAAGGTTACAGGTACGGATATACACCTACACATAATTGTGTGTATGCTTATATATGCGAATAAGGTGAGAGAGATACTGTTTGTTTCTCTTATTGTCGGATTCTGTTTATTTTTCCTCTCATTTTTCTGGTGCGTCTTGTATTTTTCGTCATCACGGGAGGAAGGAATTGTTGAATGTTATTCAGTCGTGACACCTCTTCGTGATTACATTTCAACGATTGTGATTTCTTTGCGTGCCTGCGGTCACGGATTTACGGCACGGATTTTGTTATTATTAAGTCCTCACAAACAACCATACCCTTTGCTCGACACACACAGCTGCAAAAGAAAGCCAATTTTATTCATCAACGCAAGAGCGCATAAATATCGTTTCGCTTCGTTATCCCTCGTTTTCTCAGCATGTCACCAATCCTCTGTTTGGATAAGGAGTATTAAAATCAAATTAAAATGATACTTGCGCAGGAACACCCACGTCTGTGATAGCAACATGGACCTGTATTCAACTGCTGTTATCTGTCTATCTATCTATCTATCTATCTATCTCAAACTGTTCATTATCTATCTATCTATCTATCTATCTATCTCAAACTGTTCATTATCTATCTATCTATCTCGACTTGTTCGTTATCTATCTATCTATCTATCTATCTATCTATCTATCTATCTCAACCTGTTCGTTATCTATCTATCTATCTATCTATCTCGACTTGTTCGTTATCTATCTATCTATCTATCTATCTATCTATCTATCTATCTATCTATCTCGACCTGTTTGTTATCTATCTATCTATCTATCTATCTATCTATCTATCTATCTCAGCCTGTTCGTTATCTATCTATCTATCTATCTATCTATCTATCTATCTATCTATCTCAAACAGTTCGTTATCAATCTATCTATCTATCTATCTATCTATCTATCTATCTAGCTATCGATAGATTTTTAATTGTTTTACCTATCTATCTATAGATAGTTTATTTTTATCTATCTATAGATAGGTAAGAATAAACAGAGTGGACATAGGAATCAACGCTACATAGTGACTGCCATTTTTTTCGCATTAATTTACAATCTGCAAAAAGATGGACGTTACAAATGACAAAGTATCAAGTCATCCCATAAGTTCTGTCCGAATTTTGAATAAAGAAAACAAGTGACCAAATGTTACATTTAATTACAGATTCAATCAACAATGTATTTTCTCTGATTATCTATGACTTCCTTCCATCTATTAACAAGCTTACTAATTGCATTACTGTAAAATTCTTTTGGCTTTGATTCGAAGAACTCACAAATGTTAGTTTTAACCTCTTCCTGTGTTACAAACGCTGTTTCTTCCAAATGATTCTGTAAGCTACGAAACAAATGGTAGTCTGTAGGAGCAAGATCGGGGGGAGGTGGATGAGGAATTTTCTCCCAACCAAGTTCTTCGATCTTTTGTGACTTGATTCTTGCTGTGTGGGGTCGCGCATTGTCCTGATGAAACATCACCCCTTTTCGATTCACTACAGCAGATCTTTTTTTCCTCAAAGCTTGGTTCAAACGCACTAATTGTTGACAGTATATTTGAGCACTAATTGTTGCATTAGGTGGTAAGAATTCAAAGTGGATTATTCCTTGGCGATCCCACCGGATTGAAAGAAGAACCTTTTGCCCATGTACTTCCCTTCTCGGCTGTGGCTGGGGTCCTTCCCCTTTACCAAGCCACTGTCTACGACGCTTAACATTTCGATAGAAGATCCATTTTTCGTCGCCAGTCACAAGTCTATCCAAAAAAGGTGAAACAAGTTGGCGAGAATGGAGAGAAGAGCAGATGTCAACTCGGGATTTGAGGTTGTTTTCAAACAATTCATGAGGCACCCATTTTCCAAGTTTAGGAACTTTTCCAAGTTGCTGAAGATGACGATGAACAGTTGTATGGTTTGAACTGAGAACCACTGCCAATTCCTCAACTGATAAAGCAGGATTTTCTTCAAAGGCTGCTTCAAGAAGCTTTTCATCAAACTCAACTGGACGTCCGGTTCGATCTTCATCTTCAAGGGTGAAATCTCCACCTCTGAATTTTGCAAACCATCTTCTGCAAGTTCTTTCATTAACACATTCCTCTCCATAAACTGAGTGAATGTTTCTAGCCACTTCGGCTGCTGAGTTTTTTTTCTTGAACTCATAAAGCATTATGTGCCTCAAATGATTCTTGGGTACTTCCATGTTAGCAGGGTTTTAATCAAACAAAATTTAATTTTATTGTTCTCAGAAATAAAATTTGATCAGTTTAAATGCATCTAAACATAAAAATAAGGTTCAGCTCCATTAGTCATTATAAAATACTCTTTAAATTTCATTCATTTTAACAAAAAGTTAAAATTAGGAGAGAATTTTATAGAATGACCTGATAGAAATAAAAAATAGAAAAGCCGTAGAGAATGTTGTTAAGGTAAAGAAGTGTATTCGAAATTGTCTTACTTTCCCCGTAATACCAAATTCTAGTGGATCAGTTCCATAGAATGTATTTTTGAATAGTAAAATTAACTTTGCTAATATTTACCTCAAGAATCACAAAAAAAAAGAAAAGAAAGTAAAACCAAAACAAGAAAGCGAAGAACTGGAAAAGAAGAGAGGAGAAAATGGTGTAAGTGTCAAAGAAGGAAAAGAGTTAACAGAGAAAATAAGAGGAAAATAGGAGGAAAATTGCTTAATCAAATGAAAATGGAAAGCAAGAATGAAAAAGGTAGAATGAAAAGTAAAAAGAAAAAGAAAGTTGTAAAGAAATAATGAAATGAGAAACAAAAGAATAAAAAAAGAAATGTAAGACAAAAGAAAGACATGAATGAATAAAAGAAAGAATGTAAGAAAAACAAACAAAGAATGAAAAGTAAGAAAGAATGAGAATCAAATTAAAAAGTACAAATATAGAAAGAAAAACAGAAAGAAAAAGAAAAATGAAATAGAAAAAAAAACAAAGTAAAGTCAAGTAAAACAAAGAAAGCAGAAAGAAAGAGAAGAAGAAAGAAATGTAGAGAAATGAAAAAACAATATAAAAAAATCAAAGGAAAGTAATAAAAAGGAAAGAAAAATAAGAAAAGGAAGGGAATGTAAAATACGTAATAAAAAAGAAGTGAAAAATAAGAAATAAAAACTAAAAAAGAAGGAAAAAGAAAAAGGGAGGAAAAGAAAGAAAAACGAAAACAGGAAGGAAAAAGAAAAAGAGAGGAAAAGAAAGAAAAAAGAAAAAAGAAGGAAAAAGAAAAAGAGAGGTAAAAAGAAAAACAAGAAGGAAAAAGATAAAGTGAGGAAAAGAAAGAAAAACGAAAAAAAGAAGGAAAAAGAGAAAAAAAACGATAAACAAGAAGGAAAAGCAAAAAGATAGAAGAAAAAAAGTCAGGAAAAGAAAGGAAAACGAAAAACAAGAAGGAAAAAGAAAAAGAGAGGAAAAGAAGGAAAAAAGAAAAAAACAAGAAAGAAAAAAGATAGGAAAAAAAAAGAAAAACGAAAAACAAAAAGATAGGAACAGAAAGAAAAAAGAAAAAAAAAGGAGGAAAAATAAAAGAGAATAAAAGAAAGGAAAAAGAAAAACCAGAGGGAAAAAACAAAAAGATAGGGAAAAAAGAAAAAAGAAAAAGAAAAAGAAAAAAAGAAAAACAAAAAGAGAAGAAAAGAAAGAAAAAAGAAAAAAGAAGAAAGAAAAAGAGAGGAAAAAAAGAGAAAAGAAAGAAAAAATATAGAATAAAAGATTAACAAAGAAAACTAAAAGAAAGAAAGCAAAATCAAAGCTTTGTTGTTATTAGAGCGTTCCTTGAACGTTGCCAATTTCATTTGCGTGTTCTGACAAATGGATTTACGATAGGAATAATGCCCTATGCACGAATACACTTGCTTTCTGATGCACTTCGATTAAATATTCAAAGGAATGCACACAATTTGTCCCTTAATCATGTAAAGACTCACGTCAAAACTTTGGCCCTTAAAAAAGTCTCATGACAGCATGTCTTCCGATATATGAATGTGCTAGAAAACGTAACTTTGTCCCAACTAATAGATATCGCATGTACAGCTGAGTGGTCATGCGAAGGGCTGTAAGATGAACTTTCCCTCACAAATCTATCTATCTATCTATCTATCTATCTATCTATCTATCTATCTATCTCAATCTGTTCGTTATCTATCTATCTATCTATCTATCTATCTATCTATCTATCTCAACCTGTTCGTTATCTATCTATCTAAAACTGTTCGTTATCTATCTATCTATCTATCTATCTATCTATCTATCTATCTATCTATCTATCTCAACCTGTTCGTTATCTATCTATCTATCTATCTATCTATCTATCTATCTATCTCAACCTGTTCGTTATCTATCAATCTAAAACTGTTCGTTATCTATCTATCTATCTATCTATCTATCTCAACCTGTTCGTTATCTATCTATCTATCTATCTATGAATATGAAGCAGAAAACTTTAATCCTTTAATTTTTTTTAATCTAAAGATAAAAAGAGTGATAGAAAGAAAGGCTTAGTTACTAAGGGTTAGACGCTCAGGCAGCACCTCCGTATTACGCTAAATATGTAGAACCAGAGTGCATGTCATACATCGATAGACGCTGAAACGGAATAAATTTTGCCGCAAACACATGTAAATGCAGGTTGCTTTTAAAATATTAGCACCGAAGTGTCAGATTTTATTTAGGTTTACTTTGGTTTATTTTGTTTTACGGCATATCAACCTCAATGGTTTATTTAATGCCGACAAATTTTTTTATTGCTGGTAATATTTTGTTTCGTCAAAAATCTGTTTCTGGTAATATTTTTCCTTCAAAATTGTATTGCTGGTAATAATTTTTCAAAAAGGTATTGCTGGTAATAGTTAACTATTTGCCCATGGCTGGGACCCTAACAGGTGCTACCACCTCAAGTCAAGGTGGACCCGGGAACACCAGTAATTAAGAGGTGGTTCCACGCTTCTCAAAACCTCCTGATCAGAGGCCTTGCTGCTGGACCATAGTTTATCGTCTTACCCAAGACGCATTTATTATACTTATTTATTATATTTATTTATGGTAAGGTAAATATGTACTGACTTTCTTGAGTCGTCTTTAATATCAGGTTTAATAAGGTGGCTGGAACACCGACTATTTTAACCAGTAACAAGAACATTCCCAAATCTGGGCAGGAGCTTCCTAGTCCTAATTTTCCAATCTCAAAGGAGGTCAAAGGCGTCTCCGCGGCCTTGTGCGTGATGAACTATTTTCTACGCCATAATCCCTTTCCCACAGACAAAACGTTGCACTCCGTCACGTAATCTGTTATTAATCCCTCACTGGTGAGATGTTGCAAGCCCCTGACTGCTCTATCGCGACTTCCGTAGCTTATTTCAAGCAGTTTTAACCCCCACTTCTAGGACCGGCCATGCTAGGTACATTGTAATGAACCACCCTCATCCTCTCCGTATTCCATTGGTGAGATGCAAGTTTCAATCGAGCAGCTTCTTCCAGAGAACCACTGCTCTGCGCAACCGACTCCCAAGGGTATGTTTTCCCCGATCACTACAGTCTTAACCTTTTCAAGTCTACGTTTAACCGTTATTTTCCCTGTACCTCTGTTTTTCTTATTCTGTAACGCTCTACTTGGAGTGGCTCCCGGGCCTTGTACATAGCGAATCTCACTTACTCTCGAATTAATGGAGTGAGAGTAACAACTTTGATTAGCTACTGGTTACGAAATACATTTTCGTTTAATGGAATGTAATACGAGGTTATTTACAATGATGTTCGTGCTAAACAAGTTCTGATAGTTGTTTTATGGCTTTAAATTTGTCGATTATTTCTGGGATATAATGGACAAATTGAAAGCCATAAAACAAATACCAGAACTTGTTTCAGACTAGCATCATAATAAATAACCTCGTTTCATATAATTCGCAGGATTCATAATACTGTTTCTGTAAAAGTGTTTCGGTTTAGAAGAAAAATTAGTAACAATACTTTATAATTCTTCATATATTTTAATAACTCGTCTTTGAAAATGGTTATCTGATTGTCAGGATAGAACGGAATCAGATGGAACAATGTGTAGAATAAGGAAAATGTAGGATTGTTTATGAATCAGGAGCTTCAATCTTTTTAGAAGTGATCTTTATTGCACGGGTCTGGATATTATCATCTTCGGACACTATATATTTACGCTTGATCACACTGGATGTTATTTCCGTTAAAGTCGTCTGCAAACTTTAGCAATGTATGCTTTCTGTAATCTTAACATTGATTAGCGGCAAGTGGACCATATCAGCGGAGCCAATCAAAACTTTTCTTTAGGTGAAAGTGTATTTTCGGTCGTCCTTTAGCTTATCCATTTCCACTTAGCCACTGTCCGTATCGCTTTCCGTTCTTGTAAAATATTACGCTCATCACCAGTTAAAATTCTATCCAAAAAACGATAAAGCATGACTGGATGTAGTTGTAGAGTCGTCGCCCAGCTGAGCACATGACCAGCTCCCTTCATCTGTCTCGGTTGCGTGCCAATAAAGGAGTCTATGAATTATATTCCATTCCATTCAGCGAAGTTGTTAGCCCAATATCTCTTTTCCTTGTTCTTTTTTTTGCCTAATGTTATACCTGGTCTATTGGCAGTTGAAATATTGTTGTTTTTATACCCTATCCATAGTATTTTAACTTTCTCTTTTTTCATGGTGGTCATGAGGTATCCCAACGGGCTTTTTTTCTTTTGATGATGTCTCGTAATGTGTCATTTGTGATGCGGTCTATATAGGAGACGCCTAAGGATTGTTCTATGGCAGCTCAACGCCTGAATTCACTGCTCCAATTCGTCTTTAATGTCCAAGATTCACAGATATACAGAAATATTGAGAGAGTCTAGGGAGGGATTCCTTTAATTTCAAGCAAATCTTCTTGCCTTTCCATATGTTTCTTAGCGTTATGACACCTGACAATGTTTGCGCCCTTCTTGAAATTATATCTATTCCTTTGCTGAGAGAGGGCCAAGAGATTTAAATTGTCTCACAACTTTAAGATCTTGACCACCGAGATTTACCTGGACCCTTTGTCATTGTTACTCATCAGGGCTTCATCTGGTGTATATTTCGATCCGGGTAACCCCCAAGGCATTCCGAAATGAATCCTTTATTGGGGACCGTTCTCGAATCAAGGTCTAACCATTTACAGCTCACTCACATTTCGACAATACCTACGGTGAATGCTTTCATTCTCAATGAAGCTTCAATGTTTACGGCCATGTCACGTTGAAACACCAGTTCTCGTCGGATCCCCGATGTTAAGCAATGTCGAGACTGATCAGCATCTAGATTGGTGACCACTTGGGAATACCAGGTGCTGTAAGCCTACATTTACGTGTGATATAATGGATAACGGCTGGCATTTGGAAATCGGAAAGCTGAGTTGCCATTCCGTTCGAGTTCGTTATACTTACGCGCAAATACCCTTGGGAAAGGCATGAATCTATTTCTCCCCTCTGGAGCTATAAGTTAAACAATAACTTGTATCAATAAATCATTATTATCTCCAGAAAATACTTAAAATCCAAAAATATGTTTCTAGATTTAAATAACCTGAAAATAGTTAATCTCTATAAAAGGCAGGATGTGTGTGTGTGTGTAACAAATGCACGGCCGCAATTTTCAATGGATTTGCACCAAAATTTACATGCACATTCTCCAAGTTAGTGGAAAGGCCAAGACCGACTTTGCATTTCCCAACTGCCATCGATAGTGGAAATAATCGATTTTTTCATGCTTCTATGGCAGTTTTCATGTAGTTTGCGGCCATTTTCTACTGGCCAGAGTGAGAGCCTATAGCTGGCTGCCACGAATAGGCAGGAATATTCTATTGGCCATCGTGAGAGCCAACAGCTGACCGACACGAATGTTAACTAGCATGCTAGCATGCAAAAAAAATCGATAGCTGCATTCGTTACAAGTGGGAAAAATTTAAATCTTCATGGCACTTTACTCCAATTGGCTCATTCGCTTGCTTAAAGTCAACGTTGATTTTGATTCCGCAGAAAAAGTATTTGTTGTTTCCGTGTGATTCCGTGTGAAAAAGTAATTGTTGTTAACATTCTTTTTTCATTCGGTTTTTCCAGTTACGAGTCCTTTTTAAAGCTGATCGTTTTGTAATCATTTTGTTTAGTTCTTTTTTCGTAACATATTTAATGTTTAGTATAGAGCTTAGAAAAAATTCGCAGTGTGAGATAGGCAAGAAGTAAGGCATGTAGCAACATCAGCACGGCAAAGGAAACTCCTTTAAAGGCAAGGAAGGACAAAAATATTTTAAGTCAATTGATAGCGATTGCTGTATGAGTCGTACGATTTTTGAATCAAGCACGGGCAACGCCGGGCCATGCTGCTAGTTAACATTAAAAAGCAAATTAGTGAATGAGGCTTCGTGATTTGAACGTTTCTTTGGTCTCAAGTTAGTTTACGATCTCAGGTGGAACTCTTATATCCAGTCTATCGCCAAAAAGGCTATAAGAATGGTCGGCTTATTCTATTGTTCTTTCGAGTATCGGACCAGTTCTAAAATTCTTTATTTTTACGAGATTAAATTAACTGAATAGATTATTGCTGTTAAATCTGGCCTGGTGCTACCTAGTACTAGTTTTCCAGAGTCCAAAATAGTTTACATGGTTTTGTGTAGGAGGACACGCTTGTTTTTCTCTTTGTCATCACTTTCCTAGGCACGTGGATGGGAAGGTATTTTAATAGATAGAGGCTCGAAATGTGAACTCGGAGAACCGCGTTCGAAATTCAGTCGTTTTCATGACATTCACTTACGCACAATTACACTAAGAAAACCTATCTCCCCCTAGCTATGGGATAAATAGCAAGAGTTGGATCTGGGAATTTCCAAAAACATATTAGTCGTGCAATATCCATTCACAAAAATGAAATCTCGTATACTGATAATCCGAAATATGTTTCGGCTTTAAATAACATATAGTTGATAATTTTTTTTAAAAATCGATCAGTTTATCCCGCATAGGCGTGCGACAAAGCCTATCGTTACTACGTTGCTATTTTATGACAAATGTTCAGATGAGCTTCTTTAGTTCTACATGTTCAGACATTTATAGCTACCACACGACTTTCCACTTTAACGGAGTCGAATCATCTCGATTTCTTTCGTGTTCCACATTTAAGAAGAAATTCTTCTCAGGCAGCTTTTTCACACTCACACATAAAACTATTTTTGTGGATAAGACTCCTGCATGCTTGTTTCCCTGACCACTTTAGTTTTGATTTCTTGAAAGATTCAGTCGTTAACTTTCCTCCTTAGCCTCATAATATTGATTTCTTATTATTTTCACTTCCATTCATACCACATTCAGCACAACCTTGAGTGGCTTTCGAGCCCTGTATTGGATGAACTTTTATAATAAAAAAAACAAAAAAAAAAACATTTCCACATACATTGGAGTCAAGTTGCTGCACTGAATTACGGAGAGGATCATGGCTCACCTGTCGGCTTTGTAATATTTTACAGTAATAATTCTTCTATCAGCATTCATGAGAGCTTCAACATAAGAATTTTTTTCTTTCCCGCTAAAGCTACAACTATCTTTTCTTATAATCTCCGTACTGTTTGTATTTAGTGCCGTTTTTTTTTATAAGCATTCACTGACCTACTCCGAATGTTTACAGTATTTTTTCTTTATCAAAACGGAAATTCTATAACAGCTATTCACTTTCTAACATGTGCACACAGGACAAAGCATTTTGGGAGCTGATTATTTCTTTGACATCTACACACTTGATGGTTTACAGTTAAAAGAAAAAAAAATACTGAAAAGAAACTGTAACTAAGGTCTGCTCAGAAAACTTACAGTATAAACCACAGGTGTCGAACAAACACAAATATACCTGAGCTGGTGTTTACCACAGGGTATATATATTAGTGTATTGGGCAGCAGATCCTTATTTAAACATATATTATTAAATATAACAGACAATGAATGTCTATCATGTCTGATCAGGAGCCGTTCTAATGTTCAAATATTTGCTTTAATTTCTGGTGAAAATAAACATAGAAATCGTCCAACGTTTTGCCTTTATTTTCACCAGAAATTAAAGCAAACATTTGAACTGCTCATGATCAGACTTAATAGATATTCATTGTCTGTTAAATTTAATAATATATCTTTAAATATCTATCTATCTATCTATCTATCTATCTATCTATCTATCTATCTATCTATCTATATATATATATATATATGTATATATAGTGAAAGTTCACTAGTGACCGAGCAAGAGCACTTCTTAAACTTGTCCAGAATCATCTTGGATTTTCATCTTCTCGCTGGTGTCGCCTAAGATGATTTTGAAGTCCTGGCACAGATTTACAATTTAGGCCACATGATGCACATGCTAGTCAGTTACAGACCACTAGCTGATCTGAATGTTTTGATTTAAAATGCCTTGTTAGGCCGCTAAAATTTCTGCATACCGTGTATATATATATATATATATATATATATATATATATATATATGGTGGGGAAGAGCGCTTAAAATCTGGGTTAGAACATATGTAGACAAACAGTGCGAACATAGCAAACAACACTGCATGGTGATAAATAGTTTCACGCCTAAAGCAGCAATTCATATCAATTCGGTGAATAGATAATCCCTTGCTCTGGAGCATGGGACCAATTCATCCCCATACATATTGAGACACAGCCAGTAAAGAAAAAAAAGTCTTTGATCAGATTGCACGATGTTCAAAGCGACCAGTGCATATCATAAAGTAGTTATTTCTATAGAGAGCTACTTTTCAGGTTCATGACTCCTGAAGTGCAGTTGTGGAATATAAGGATAAAGTCTGTCGACAGAAACATTTCGTGATATCCCTTTTACAAGGATCTCGAAAATAATGTAATTAAAGCAATTTCTTTAATTTTCAATACGCCATGGACATGGCTCTTCACTGTTATCTGCGAATTTTCATGATTTCTTAAGGAAAAATAATTGAGTTCATTCGTTTGTATTCTCCATGATTGAAGTTTTCTTTTTTGTAGACTGGCAGTCACACAAGGCGAGATATTATAATCTAATCATTAATTTAACCACGAGCTAGAAGTTTAGCGGAATATATGTAGTATTAGTGCGAACCTTAAAGCAAATTAATCGGTTGGGATTTGAACCCGGCTCGACAATTCATCTTTAAGTTATCCTTACGCTGTCCGCATATATATATATATATATATATATATATATATATATATATATATATATATATATATATATATATATATATATATATATATATATATATATATATATATATGTTTGTAGAGTAATTATTTATTTTTCAGCTTTCTTTGAAATTTTAAATATTTAAAAAATATTATTTGGCTTATTTAAAAAATATTTTCACGTTAATATGATTTAACAAAAAATATTTTTTGCCATAGTTAATCTGATTTAAAGTTCAAGTTTATCCCGGAGTCTCTGTTTCTATTTCTATGAAATGCTGTAAACAATCAGTAAAACGTTAAACATGAACTTGTAATCCAGACCAATGATGACACGAAGGAATTGAAATATTTAATTAAGTAAATCATAATAAAATTAACTTTCCTTTCAATGGAATGTTGAAATCAACTTCAATGTTTTATAGCCTAAACCGTCAATGACCCAACGGGAGAGGGGTAGTCTAATCTAGTATATATATATATATATATATATATATATATATATATATATATATATATATATATATATATGTGTGTGTGTGTGTGTGTGTGTGTGTGTGTGTGTGTGTGTGTGTGTGTGTAATGAATTGGGATTAAATACAAATCAAATATGGACCGAAACAGACAGAATAAAATGAATAACAAATAGGAAATGTTTATCAATCTAACATCAGAGAATAAGAAATGGAGAAAAAGACGAAAGAAATTCTGGTATTTTTACTATTGCGTTGTTTGATTTTCATTGGTCAATCAGGTGTCATGTGCATTTGACTTGTTAAACAAACGTTAGCAAAATTTATGGCGTTCCGAATTCAAGGAGAGAGTATGCGTTTGATTTAAGTTTCAAGAACTCAATAGATTCCAAGCCTAACTGAAAAACTAAACATTCCTTTATGTATGTATGAGTATAGGAATTTTAATGGTCGTCAGTAACATGATGTGCCCAAAATGCGATCTGAAGTTTCGTGAATCAAGCAGACGAGGAAGTTTAAATACCTGAGAAGCTTCTTGACAGAGGACGGTAATTGCGACACTGAGATCCGTAGTCGTATCAGGATGGCCAAAGACACATTTCAAAAGCGGGGCAGAGTATATTCTTAAAATATAGTTATTTTCAAACCTTGGTTAG